CAAGCGGTAACCCGAGCTACACTCGGGCTTACCATGCAGGGCTGCTCCGCGATCCCTCGATCTCTTTCCTTGTCCTGCGCTCCCGTGATGTCCCTCCTGCAGTGTCCCGGCAATGTAATCCAGAGGATCATCTTCTGGGTTCTGTCCCCTGCGATCGTCGGGATGTACGGGGGATGGAGCTGGCGAGAAATTTGAAAATGACAAAAAGTGACATTCACTCATACACTAAAATCACATAGTAAAACATTACTGTATCAAACCATTTCACATACATTTTGTCCCGAGTGCTTTGTCCTGCGCCCTGCCTGCATTTTTACGGTTCTTTCTGCCTGGAAACTGAGAAATGTCCATGGCGTCCAAAAAACGTCCCTTTAGGTCATGAATGGCACCCCTCTCCTTTCTGCCTGGAGATTTCAACAGGATAAAAAACACAATAAGGAAGGTAGGAACAGAACAAGGAACTTTGAGGGAGTTCTCACTCCAGGACCGTTCAGTAGAAAAGAAGCCATGGGGGTCATTAGATTCTACCGATCAATAAAATTTAGTTTAGTTTTGCTAGTAGACTAACACTTTAATAATGAGAGTAAGGTCTCTTCTGGAAGGCCCTCATGATATGTCCCTCTACAATACAATGGTAAGACTGGATAATTCTGACTAGTTGACCTTCAAGCAGAGGCGGACTGACAACTGATGGGACCCCCGGGCAATAGGGGATCATGGGGCCCCTGTGTCCTTGCCCAAACTCAAAAAATCCTATGAAAAAGGTACCAGGGGCATCTCATGGGGCCCCCTACTGACCCCGGGCCCCGGGCAGTTGCCGACTTTCCAAATGGTCAGTCCGCCCCTGTCTTCAAGGCACCAATCCATCCAATCTCTTCCATTTCTCATTATTGTGTCACTACATCTTCCTGTTTTGCCAGCTAAACTTGCATGCCATCTTCCCCTCACCATTGGGCAATTTCTGTTCAGAGATAAATTTCTCAAGACGAGTTCTCAGTGGGATTTCCATCCCATAGCGTCCATGTGTCCCGTCATCCACCAGTATGAAGTGTGTGTGGTTGTTGTCCAAACAACACAGTGCCCCCTGCGATCCTACATCCATGGGGTACGAGGCAGGAGCTCCCCCCTACAGACAAATTCACATAAAAAGAAGTATATTAATGCGGTTACACATATTTTTTTCTGTTTAGAAGCTTTGTTCCTTACATGTCACACAAGGAGGGTTAATGAATTGCCTGCAATGCTGAGCAGCAGTGATACGTTTAGGGAAGGCTATAAACAATGTCCATCTATAGAGTTTCCTCTCCACATTGGAGGCTGCCATTTTGGGTATAATATTTATGCTGACCAGATGGTGATTGGCGGATAGAGGGCACAGATGAAGGGGATATGGAGTGCTGTGCATTTTGGAATAACAAGGGCTTGCTTGGAGGAACTGAGACTTGTGAGGAATGTAGTTCCAGGAAATACTGAGCATGTTTTACAGATTTGCTCTGTGACTACAGGAAAGAAAAGGAAGGTCTGATCCCAAGTTTGAAGTATATGTGGTTAGGGCATTGTGGAAGACATACCATGCTGCAGTCTGAATGTTTTCTGTACATGCTGAAAAGGTTCTTAGCCTGAAAAAATAAAACTAATGCAGCCACCATATCTAAGGACTGGTAGGAATTATTGGCAGCTATGGCTGGATTTGGTGTTAGTGCAGGTCTGGGGGCTATAGCTATAAGGTTCTTAACTCAAAGTTCACTTACTCTTGGTGGACCCCAGTGCTCTGCTGGAACAAATGAACTATCAACATGACGAGCACATTACAGAGGTGATCAGGAGGGCACAATACTGGGAGCAGGAGGGCAAAGTATAGGTACTGGGATGCTGCCTGGAACACAGCCATTCTGGGATAGCTTAGTAAAAATCGTGACTGTCCTGGCAAATCTGGGACAACTGGCAAGTATGATTCAATGCACGATTATTATGGGCCCCCATGCATCTGGGGGTGCCCATGCATTAAGATGGCCCTGATAGAAAGCAAAAATCCTGAGAGGAGCCGGAGCTGGCATGAGGATTTTCAAGAAGAGGCTGTGCATTGCAGAACAGGTCACACAGCAAAATTCATAGCTGAGCAGCTTATAAGAGATTTCAGGGGAGGGCATAGCAGCCCACTAAGTATAAATATATTAAATGTCCACTGCCATAGGGTAGTACAATGTGCAGAATCTGCTGGCTGCCAAATGATGGTTCAATGTGTAATGTGAAACAGGATTGTGCAGAGTATAGGATTTGTTGGGGTTCCACACAAATATCCTGTGGCAAGGGTTACTGCACTCCTGCTTTAGAACAGTTAAAAGTGAACTCCTTTCAGGATCTTGTTTGTTAGCAGTAGCTGGTGCTGGGGTAACTGGAGAACTGGGGGCAGCACAGAGGCTAAGTGATTAGCACTTCTATCTAGCAGCATTAGGCAGTTCGGTTTGATGCCATGGTGCCAACCATGGCACTACCTTCCTGGAGTTTGCATGCTCTCCCTGTGTCTGCGTGGGTTTCCTCCCACCACCAAAGACATAATGGTAGGTTGTCTCCTATCTAAATTGGTCCTATGTGTATGAATGTGAGTTAGAGACCTTAGATTTTAAGTTCCTTGTGGGTAGGGACTGATGTGAATGTCCTTATAGGATCTCTTCAACTTACAAGCCGACCTCAATGCTCTGTTTAATTGGGCAACTATGTGGCAAATGAGGTTTAATGTTGATAAATGTAAGGTTCTGCACTTGGGGGCTAAGAATATGCATGCATCATACATACTAAGGGGGGGGGGGGTACAAACTGGGGGAATCAATGGTGGAGAAGGTTCTGGGAGTTCACAAGCTTAATAATGGCAGCAATGCCAAGCTGCGGCTTCTAAAGCGAGCAAAATCCTCTCTTGTATTAAAAGAGGTATAGACTCCAGAGAGATATATCATTTCCCCCGGTACAAATCATTAGTAAGACCTCATCTGGAATATGCAGTTCAGTTTTGGGCACCAATTCACAAAAAGAACATTGGGGAACTGGAGAAAGTGCAGAGAAGAGCAACCAAACTGATAAGAGGCATGGAGGAGATCAGCTATGAGGAAAGATTAGAGGAACTGATTTATTCTCTCTTGAGAAGAGGAGATTAAAGGGGGGGATATGATCTCCATGTATAGTACATAAGGGGGGATATGATCTCCATGTATAGTACATAAGGGGGGATATGATCTCCATGTATAATACATAAGGGGGGATATGATCTCCATGTATAGTACATAAGGGGGGATATGATCTCCATGTATAATACATAAGGGGGATATGATCACCATGTATAATACATAAGGGGGGGATATGATCTCCATGTATAATACTTAAGGGGGGATATGATCACCATGTATAATACATAAGGGGGGCTATGATCACCATGTATAATACATGCGGCGGCCTAAGGGGGATTAATACATAAGGGGGGATATGATCTCCATGTATAGTACATAAGAGGGGATATGATCTCTATGTATAATACATAAGGGGGGATATGATCCCCATGTATAATACATAAGGGGGAATATGATCCCCATGTATAAATACATAAGGGGGGATATGATCACCCATGTATAATACATAAGGGGGGATATGATCACCATGTATAATACATAAGGGGGGATATGATCTCCATGTATAATACATAAGGGGGGATATGATCTCCATGTATAATACATAAGGGGGAGATATGATCCCCATGTATAAATACATAAGGGGGGATATGATCTCCATGTATAATACATAAGGGGGGATATGATCACCATGTATAATACATAAGGGGGATATGATCTCCATGTATAATACATAAGGGGGATATGATCTCCATGTATAATACATAAGGGGGGATATGATCTCCATGTATAATACATAAGGGGGGGATATGATCTCCATGTATAATACATAAGGGGGATATGATCTCCATGTATAATACATAAGGGGGATTATGATCTCCATGTATAATACATAAGGGGGATATGATCTCCATGTATAATACATAAGGGGGATATGATCTCCATGTATAAATACATCAGTGGTTCATATAGTGAACTCGGTGTAGTTATTCCCCCTGAGGTCATCACAGAGGAAAAGGGGGCACTCTTTATGTCTGGAGGAAAAGAATTTTAATCTACAAACACGGAATGGTTTCTTCACAGTGAGAGCTGTGAGAATGTGGAATAGACTCCCTCAAGAGTTGGTGGTTGTGTCCAGCTCAGTGGATTGCTGTAGGAAAGTCCTGGATTCTTTCTTGGATACACAGACTATAACTGGATATAACATTTATAGGTAAAGTTGATCCAGTGAATATCCGATTGCCTCTTGGGGGTGACCTCGATGCACTTTTGTCTTTTTTCAGCCAGGCTAACTATGTAATATACAGTATATGGAAAGCACTGCATAAGTTGCCAGTGCTTTATAAGTATCTGTAATAAATAAACCGTTAAATAAAGAAAAACAAGGAAGCCACACTCCATTTGAAGTCCCTTGTATACTAGATTACAAGCCTGATGCACACACTGTTCCACCCTTTGATGCAATCGCCAACACCATTCATTCCTTCCAGAGCTTATTCATATATATACTGCACTGTGTGTAAAGGCTAGTAGCTGCCATACACGAGCAGCATTGTGTCACAAGATTAACTCTCTTAAACTCCAGACTTTAATGGAAAATGATCTTCTAAGCTGAATAAGAGATCCATAGCTTTCTCTAATTCCTAAATCTTGTTTCTTGTGTTCCTTAAAAGAAAGATCACAAAAAATTTCTGGCATTTAGTACAAGATATTTCTATGAAAGTTATGTTCTATATGATGTAGACTATGTCTACTTCTTACCGCCTCACTGAGCAGTGATTTTCGGTTGTGGACGATGCCCCAGGTAGCAATGCCTATCAGGACAATCTCATAGCCTTTTCCTCCACTGAAATTCCGTATGGCTTCACCTACGTGCTTCATGACCCCAGCATGAGACCCTCCAGTGATGATCCAGGCCCCTGTATGTAAGAAAGGGAGGAGAGATTGGCTATACAAAATATGGCTGCACTGTCTGTACTGTAACCCTCTCTGGTTAGCCATGTCATCATCCACACTTCCTTACTTAAACTACAAACAGTATATGAAAAGTACAAAGATGTCCACTGCCCCGGTCTATAACTGGCCTTCACAGCAAGGAGCACATGGAAGGACAACACATGTCAAACAACAAAAGAGACAAATTCCTGGCTCAGCTTGCCAACCAGCCTGCAAACAAGCCGAATTAACCTAACAGAATGCATTAAAAACAGGGGTTTTAGTTATTACAATTTTGCTAACACATGCGTAAGCTACAGAGCCTCTTCAGGGCACCCCAATATTCTATAGTTCTAACTATACAAATTTTGAGAGCACATGTATTTTTAATGGATAGACCAAGGGCAGGTGGACCTGAGGGAGCCCACTCCTCCTTAAAGGTACCGGAGAGCACTGGACACCCAGCATGTAGCACAATGGCAGCTAAGGTGTCCAGTACGCCTCCTCACCAACAACTCAACAGTACAAAAATGGCCACTGCCCCAGTCTATAACTGGCCTTCATAGCAAGGAGCACATGGAAGGACAACGCATGTCAAACAACAAAAGAGAAAAATTCCTGGATGACTGAACGACTGAAGTAAGTTGGCAAGATGGTATTTTAATAATATAAATGGAGTGTTTTCTAATAAGAGAAAACTATTGCTGTTTATTGTGAAACGGCAGGAATTTATTCTTTTAGACTTGAAAGGTACTTAGAGGGGTCTACTTAAGGCAGACAGTGTTGACCGAGGAAATCCCTCCAGCCGAGTCATTGTGCTGTCAGCCCCTGCTGGGAGAAGACAGTGACTATTACTAGCAGGGGCGGACTGACAACTCATGGGGCCCCCCGGGCAATAGGGGATCATGGGGCCCCTGTGTCCACGTCCACACTCAAACCACACCCAAAAAAGCATATGAAAGGTACCAGGGGCATCTCATGGGGCCCTCTACTGACCCTGGGCCCTCGGGCAGTGCCCAATTTCCCGAATGGTCAGTCCACCCCTGATTACTAGTGAATATACCAGCCGCTAGCAATAATTGCATGTAAAATTCGGCAGACTGGTTGTACCCCAATGTCATCAGTCAATCAACACGGGTGCATTCCGCCTTCCCATACATGGTTCGAACCTCAACCGGTTTCTGCTGAACCAGCCGAGATTCAAACTGTCTATGGCTGACTTTAATTGTCAGTTTTAGCTCTGCTAGAGGCCATTTTATCTAACAAAAATAAACATTACCTACTTTCCTCAACAGCCACTGAAAATCATGATCATTAAAGTGTTTCAGCCAAGCATTACAAGTGAGGACAGCAGTGACAGTGAAGCACAAGGATGATGTGCTCATTGTAGAGCCCCATTACCTGTGCTTTGTGCAGCCTTCACAAGGCCCCCGGCTGAACTGGGTCTTCAGCCTTGGACTGATGTTGAAATCTTTGGCTCCTCCTGTCACAGATATGAGGAGAGTTGGTTCATGCAGCCCCACTGCTCTGTCATCAGTTCAAACAATATGCTGGGATCAGTGTCGGAGGATGCTCGCACGTACTGTTGAGAAACAGATGCCTAAAGTAACTTATACAGCAAGATGTTTAACCCAACTATTAAAATGATAAAATGTGTCCAACAGCAGTCTAGGCTTCCACAGCATACAGTAATGTCCTTCAACACCCAACAAGCATACCTTGGCCAAGGTCCTGGTGGTTCTTGTAAATATCATGTCCCCATGTGCATCAGTGGGGAATTCTTCGACATGTTTCTGAGGGTCCCAATTGATTTCAGGTGGCCTATTGGGATCTGGGGGTGTCATGAAAATGGGATTCTCTGGTGTAACCACATCCACAGGTCTCCCTAAGAGAGCAATATAGAGCATCTATTAGACATGCGATTCGTTTCATTCCGAATTGAAATTCGGCCAAAATTTTACTCATTCGGAGATTCGGACGTATCTAAATTTTCCAAATTACAATAGCAACAAATTTAAACGATTTAAAATTAACGATATAAATTTTTGTCCAAATTCTAATTGAATCTGAATTAAATTTGAAAAATGAAATCAAATTTGAAAAACATATTTGAATGAAATCATATTGCTGACTATTGCTGATTTCCTTCAAAGACTATGTGTACTGGTGTTAGAATATAGCTGACTTCAGAAATTTGAATTTCAAAAAGCATTGAATAGAATAAAACAGGAATAGAAAAGAAAGGAAAAGAATAAAATAAAAGAAATTTGCATAGATTTAAATAGAATAGAATAGAAAAAAATATAGCCATATTCCGAAATTTGAATTTCAAAAAGAATGGAATAAAATGGAAAAGAAAAACAATAGAAAATAAGGGAAAATAATAGAAAAAATTAGAATAGAATATAAAATAGAGTAAAATAGAAAGAATATAGCAATATTCCGAAATTTGAATTTCAAAAAGAATAGAATAGAAAAATAAAACAGAATAGAAACAAATACAGTAAAACAGAATAGAAAATAGAATAAAATAGAATAGAATTGAAAAAATAGAATAGAATAAATAGAAAGTGTGTAACCATCTTCCCAAAAAATTTGAAATTCGAAAAGGAAAACCAGCTATTCTTCACAATGAATTTGCATCGATTTGATATTTTCTATTTGAATTTGATTTGAATACTTCAAATCCATTGTAAAAATTCTAATCCAGTCGAAGATGAATAAATGAAACTAAACTAAAAGAATGTAACGAAACAAATTAGAAACTTAACAAATTGATCCAAAAAACAAAACAAATTTTTTTCACTCTGCACTTGTTTAGCATCTATAAAATATTTGCAGCATAGTTGATAAATTGAACCCAACACTCAGAGGCGTAGCTAGGATATTTTTTGCACCTGGGGACGAACTATAAAATTGGCGCCCCAGCCCCCCTCCCCGTTTAATCACATCAGTGACAGCAATGATGGGGCACTATTCCTTCCACTAACACCAATGATGGGGCACTATTCCTCCAACTGACAATGATGGAGCACTATTCCTCCCACTGATACCAATGATGGGGCATATTCCTCCAACTGACAATGATGGAGCACTATTCCTCCCCCACTGATACCAATGATTTGGGGCACTATTCCGCCCACTGATACCAATGATGGGGCACTATTCCTCCCACTGATACCAATGATGGGGCACTATTCCCCCACTGATACCAATGATGGGGCACTATTCCTCCCTCTGACACCAATGATGAGGCACTATTCCTCCCACTGATACCAATGATGGGGGCACTATTCCTCCCACTGACACCAATGATGGGGCACTATTCCTCCCACTGACACACAATGATGGGGCACTATTTCCTCCCACTGACACCATGATGGGGCACTATTCCTCCCACTGATACCAATGATGGGGCATTATTCCTCCCACATGATATCAATGATGGGGCACTATTCTCCCACTGATACCAATGATGGGGCACTATTCCTCCCAACTGATACTAATGATGGGCACTATTCCTCCCACTGATACCAATGATGGGGCACTATTCCTCCCACTGATACCAATGATGGGACACTATTCCTCCCACTGACACCAATGATGGGGCACTATTCCTCCCACTGACACCAATGACACTTAACTTGCTGACCCCTGCTCCAACCTAGGCTCCTTCCCTCTCCCATCCACAGCCAGCAATACCTGGTTGCAGCAGCACCCTCCGCACGGCACACTTACCGGTCAGCTGTCTTCTTCACTTGCTCCCCGGCCGCTCTCTCACTCGATCTTCGCGCTGCCGCTCGCCTCCTCCTTTCCAAGCTCCGCCTCCTCACAGGTGATTGGCTGCCTGTGTGCCTTTCCTGAGCTACAGTTCTGGCGGAGCTTGTAGAGGGAAGTACAAGCTGCCATAGGCTGTCCAGTGATCCCGAGGGTGTGGCCAAATGACAGGGGCGGCATGCCATCCCGCCCACACCGCGCTCAGGGAAAAGACGACACCGGACCTGCAGACCTCTCAACCCTCCTCCAGCAGCGCCTCCTGGTACTGGATCGTTGTGGGACTGGGACACAAAGCCAGGTAAGACACAGCAGCCCGCTGCCCGCCCCTGTACTAAGTGTCCCTTCCATTGGAAGGGGGGCTCTGGTGGCACCGCGCTGCCCCCCTAAAATGTCCCGCCCTATGCAAACGCCTTGTTTGCCTCATGGCAAATACGCCCCTTGGTTGTAAGCCTCATTTTTGGCGCCCCTATACCTTGGCGCCCGGGAACATATGTACCCCCCCTCTGCCCCCCCCAGCTACGCCTCTGCCAGCACTGATGACCTATTCCACCATACACAACAAACAATGAACATATACAGTTGCAAGAAAAAAGTATGTGAACCCCTTGGGATTACGTGGAGTTTTGCATGAATTGGGCATAAAATGTGCTCTGAACGTCATCTAAGTCACAACAATAGAAGAACACAGTCTGCTGAACATAATACTACACAAACATTAGATGTTGCCATGGTTTAATTGCACATAACATGTAAACATTCACAGTGCAGGGAGGAAAAAGTATGTGAACCTTTGATTTAATAACTGGTTGACCCTCCTTTGGCAGGAATAACCTCAACCAAACGTTTCCTGTAGTTGCAGATCAGACCTGCACAACGATCTGGAGTAATTTTGGACCACTCCTCTTCACAAAACTGTTTCAGTGTAGAAATATTCTTGGGATGTCTGGTGTGAATCGCTCTCTTAAGGTCATGCCACAGCATTTCAATCGGGTTGAGGTCAGGACTCTGACTGGGCCACTCCAGAAGGCGTATTCTGTGCTGTGGCAGCCATTGTTTTGAAGAATTACTTGTATGCTTTGTGTCATTGTCCTGTTGCATCACCCATCCTCTGCGGAGCTGAGGTTCAGTTGGCGGACAGATGGTCGTACGTTTTCCTGCAAAATGTCTTGATAAACTCTGGAATTCATTTTCCCATCAATGACAACAATCCGTCCAGGCCCTGAGGCAGCAAAGCAGCCCCAAACCATGATGCTCCCTCCGCCATGTTTCACAGTGGGGATGAGGTTTTGATGTTGGTGTGCTGTGCCTTTTTTTCTCCTCACATAGTGTTGTGTGTTCTTCCCAAACAACTCAATCTTGGTTTCATCTGTCCACAGTATATTTTGCCAGTAGTGCTGTGGAACATCCAGGTGCTCTTTTGCAAACTTCAAACGTGCTACAATATTCTTTTTGGACAGCAATGGCTTCCTCCGTGGTGTCCTCCCATGTACTCCATTCTTGTTTAATGTTTTCCTTATTGTAGATGTATCAACAAAAATGTTAGCATGTGCCAGAGATTTCTGTAGGTCTTTAGCTGACACTCTGGTATTCTTCTTTACCTCATGCAGCATTCTGCGCTGTGCTCTTGCAGTCATTTTTTTACAGGACGACCATGACTAGGGAGAGTAGCAACAGTGCTAAACTTTCTCCATTTGTAGACAGTCTGTCTTACCGTGGACACATGAACATCAAGACTTTTGGAGATACTTTTGTAACCCTTTCCAGCTTCATGCAAGTCAACAATTCTTGATCATAGGTCTTCTGAGAGCTCTGTTCTGCGAGGCATGGTTCACATCAGAGAGTGCTTCTTGAAACCAGTAAACCCAAAACAGGTGTGTGTGTTTTTAAGGGCAGGACAGCTGTCAGCAACACATCCAATATCATCACACTGATTGGAGTCAAGGTTGGCTCACTCCTGGCTCCAATTAGCTCTGGGAGAAGTCATTAAGCTAGGGACTCACATACTTTTTTTCCTCCCTGCACTGTGAATGTTTACATGTTATGTGCAATTAAACCATGGCAACATCTAATGTTTGTGTAGTATTATGTTCAGCAGACTGTGTTCTTCTATTGTTGTGACTTAGATGACGTTCAGAGCACATTTTATGCCCAATTCATGCAAAACTCCACGTAATCCCAAGGGGTTTCACATACTTTTTCTTGCAACTGTAGGATCCTATAGACACATTTATGGCATGATGTGTGGGCCACAGCAGAAGAAATACATTGATGTTGTGGAGACTGGAAGGACTTTGATGTTCCAGTTAATCTTCACATCTCTGCAGCTGGGGAATGCGAAATGTAAAATCGGGGACCACGTGTAAAATCATGCACGTTCCCAAACCACAAAGTAAACGCACTGCAATTTAGCATACACGTGGGGGTGCCATTGTTAATGGCACTCCCACACATCTGCACTTGTGGTGCGTTTTCACACAAAGCCTCATGTTACCACAGCACCATGCAGTTTGGTGCCGCACAATTTAAAAAAAAAAGGGTTGGGGATTTTTTTTTCCTTCATTTCTCTGGTGCCCAGATCTGAACTGTGCCTTAAAGGGACAGAACATCAGTGACATAGCATAGTAGATCAGGTAATAGATCATAGTAGATCAGGTAATGGATCATAGTAGATCAGTTAATAGATCATAGTAGATCAGGTAATAGATCATAGTAGATCAGGTAATAGATCATAGTAGATCAGTTAATAGATCATAGTAGATCAGGTAAATAGATCATAGTAGATCAGGTAATAGATCATAGTAGATCAGGTAATAGATCATAGTAGATCAGGTAATAGATCATAGTAGATCAGGTAATAGATCATAGTAGATCAGGTAATAGATCATAGTAGATCAGGTAAAAGATCATAGTAGATCAGGTAATAGATCATAGTAGATCAGGTAATAGATCATAAAGTAGATCAGGTAAAATAGATCATAGTAGAAATCAGGTAATAGATCATAGTAGATCAGGTAATAGAGATGAGCGAAGTATTCATAAAAATTCGATTCGACTGATTCGGCGAATTCGTGGACAAAATATTCGATTTGAGTCTCGAGGTCGAATATATTCGCTGTGAATTTAACTTAAAAAAGGAGTGTGTTTCTAGGCTTCAGAGAGACTTAATATTAGTGCAGA